GGAAATAATTACCAACTTTGACTTAATTACTTTTTAACAAATAATAAGCGACGGCTAAAATTTATTGGAGATTACTCAGAATCATCACTTAGACAACATAAATCAAGGTTAAAGTCATTGGAAAAGGAATGCTCTAATGTAAATAATTATCCTTAAAAATTCGGCCTTATGAAACTTTTTGGCTTCAAGCAAGTTCGACGTCACAAAATACATTTTAAAAAACTATACTTTTCTTGCAATAAAAAAAATAAAAGGAATTATTCAAAATTCGTTAATTATAAATTGTCTTAAGATTAGAATCCAACCGAAATTACATTTTGACTTCCAGCCAAAACCGAAAACGAATATTCAGTTGTCACTCAATTTCGGCCGAAAACGAAACCGAAACTTATATAAGTCTTACTGAAAAAAAAAAAAAGAAAGAGAAGGCTAACGGAGTCACATTTTTTTTGACCAAAGTCGAATTAACATTTTTTGATTATAGAGATCGTATGATTTTCAAAAATCATGTCGTCAAATTTATGTCTTCAAGAAAGAAGATTTTATTAAAATATCTAACTATAATAATATAATAATATTGCATCAACTTTTAAAGAAATCAAATTACAGTTATTATTAGGATCATATCAAACTTATTGTACTAAAATTGTTAATCAATGAGTTAATAATAGTATAAAAACAATTAAAATGGAACAGTTATTTTTTGAACTCACCGATTGATTACATCTTGTACAATTTCGAGTTATCCACCCAAATTTTCTCTTAATTTCAGCCAAAACCGAAATCAAACTGAAACTTTGATATTTTACCGAAACTGACTGAAACAGAAACTGAAACCGACCTTTCGGTCGGATTCTATAATACTTAAGACATTTCGATTTTGAACATAAGATCTAAGATAGTTTAATTTATGCTGTATATCGTATATACTATACAGACATATAATATCTTACAATATAGCATCTATTAATAATATCTAAAAGGATTAGGTAGTAACTAGTTAATAATATTCTTGAGGCTTCCACGGTATGCTTCCTATATAAAGATTATGCGTTTCGCGGGTTTCCTCCATGTCCAGATCTATTCTTGGCATTCCATCCGCGAAACGCATAATCTTTAACTAGTTAATAAATTAAAAGTTAAATAAAAATTAAAAATTTAACAACTTTTAACTTAATTTAGTGAATTATATAAAGAATTAATTTTTAACTTAAACTTTAATGTATAAACTTTCTTCTTTTTAAGATTAATATTAAGAACGAGACCATTATAAAAATATATCAATTAAATACGAGAAGCGCCAATTAGAGTTCAAGTTAGATTTTAGACTAATACATACATAATCGCGCTTAGACAGCCGAAGCACACTCGCACACGGACATGGCTCATGCCTTTGTGTGTGTCATGACGATGGCTCGACCGTCAGCACCGCTTGTCGCGGTATCTCTCTTCCACATGCCATAAAATGCCGTAAACGAGTTGAAAATAGCATCATTGTGACGCTGTCATTTCCTAACTAGTTCCCAGATAACAAAACGTTTCTTAGCGTAATTACTCGGAGTTGTGCAAACATTAGTATGCAGCAATGCAATTTATATTATGTAATCTTGATAGATTTGGTTATTATTGAATTTGTATATTATACTATACATAAATTTATAAATCAAATTTTATAGATTATACTCTAAATCTTAAAATTAAAAATAAACAATCTATACAAGGTCAATAAGAGGCTAGTGAAGGTGCCAACGATTAAAATCTATATCATTAATTGATTGTGTGAATCTTCTTTATTTTGAACGTTTCGGCTCTCTTTGGAGTCCTCTTCAGCAATACATATCTTAAATCTAAAATCATTGAACCTTCCGTCATATGTGAGTCACTAACAGGTTCCCAACTAAAAAATCCTGATTTGATATATATATATAAAATTGAGCCAATAAGAAAAACCAAATCCAAGCAATTCACCTTAAACGGGAAGTTCAACAATTTCATGAAGCTTTGGAGGTTTATATTAACTAATAAATTATTGAACCAGTTATCTCAGTTTTATATTCATTATTAACCTTTCTCTCCGAATAATCAAAAGTGTTTAATGAACAGTTTTTAATTGAAAAACGACACCTTGCAAAAACAAAACAATTAAATCATAATTAACATTACAATATTCCAAATATAAATCCAGCAAACGAGAATGAATTAAAATGGAATGAAATTTTTTCTATCCGAATTTATGCGTATTTTAAATAGCGAATACTTTCTTTGGATTTAATTGGATTCAATTAAATTCAATTAGATTCAATTGGATGCAATTAGATTGAAAAATTGCATTCCCTATTCAAAATTTTGAATTGAACAATATTCACACAATGCACAGAAAAAGCTAATATCATTTTTAGATTGAAAGACATAGAGATATGCAATTCCTATAAATGAATAAAAGTGCATTCAGGATTGAAAAGCATTCATTTTAACATTCGTGAATCAATATTTCTGAATACATTTCAATTCATTTCAATCTATTCTCGTTGTTGAGAAGTCATAAATTATGTACAAGACGTGAAAAATACATTCAATTCTTTATGAAGTGATTTAATTGGTCAATTCATTTAGCATCATTGTATATGCGTGATGTAATCCTTTAGTGTCAGATCATAAATTCAATCCATTTTTTGCATGAGAATGTGCGTTTTTTTCAGACGTTTATTTAAAGATTTTTTTTTCATGATCCAGAATTTGAACATTCTTCCAATCAAAATCATGATTCAATTGAACTCTGTGATTCGTAATAACCAATTGTAAATTGGTATTCCAATTGATGTGATTACGGTGTTCAATAATTCTAGAGTTCATTTTTCTATCAGTTTATCCTACGTAAGACGTGTCAATATCACACAATCTTTGCATGTTAATTTGTATATTACATTTTCTTATTCTTTGGGAGGATATCTTTCTGGGAATGAACTGAGTTTGTTATTATTATAAAATGCTGGTTTCAGATTTTCTTTTTTACAAATT